ATGGAGTCCTCTGGTGCCATCATTTCTTTCAGCATTAAACAGTTTTTAAACTTTTAAAGGACCACTCTAGGCACCCAGACCACTTCAGCTTAATGAAGTGGTCTGGGTGCCAGGTCCTTCTAGGGTTAACCCATTTTTTCATAATTATAGCAGTTTCAGAGAAACTGCTATAATTATGAATGGGTTAAGCCTTCCCCCTAATCCTCTAGTGGCTGTCTCATTGGCAGCCACTAGAGGCGCTTGCGTGCTTCTCACTGTGAAAATCACAGTGAGAGCACGCCAGCGTCCATAGGAAAGCATTGTAAATGCTTTCCTATGAGACCGGCTGAATGCGCGCGCAGCTCTTGCCGCGCGTGCGCATTCAGCCGGCGGGGCGTAACGGAGGAGGAGAGAAGGAGGAGAGCTCTCCGCCCAGCGCTGGAAAAAGGTAAGTTTTTACCCCTTTCCCCTTCCAGAGCCGGGCGGGAGGGGGTCCCTGAGGGTGGGGGCACCCTCAGGGCACTATAGTGCCAGGAAAACGAGTATGTTTTCCTGGCACTATAGTGGTCCTTTAATGTTTTAATGCTAAACAAGAGTCCCCGGCAGTCCATCCCCTCTGTGCTGCTTTGGCTAATAAGGAAGTATTAGCCTGAGCAGCAATGGGCAGCTGTGATTGGCTGAGAGTGTCAGCTGACTGCTTTTAACCTGTCAGCGCTCCAACTGACGGGTATGACAACATGGAAGTGTGCAATCTTTGCCTTAGCTACACATACAGAAGGGGCCGGACTGTGGGTGGCCAGGGACACCGCGGAGACCTCCACACTGCCGCCAATTCGTGTAAGGACTACCGAACGGCCCCCGTTCAGTTCTGCTCCTGATGCTGTGTGTCGTCCAGTCATTGGGATTGATGTTGGGATATTATTGGATTGTCTTGCCTGCTGGAATTATTGTCTTATGGATTTTTAATACTTGTTCCTGAGCCTCACTGGGATCTTGAGGGGAGATAAACTGTGGAATATCAGCTCTCCGCTACATTGGTGGCAGCGGTGGGATCCAGACTCGCAAAGGAATAAGGATTAATGGAGATTGATTACTCCACATTAAAACGATCCACACTGAAAGATCTTCTGGAAGCAAGAGGTATTCCAGCCAGCAATAAAACAAAGGCAACACTCATCTCTGAAGTAATGGCAGAATACCGTACAGAGGGATGCGACAGACGGAACGGAGCAAGCAGAGTTCCAAAGGCAGCTCCAATTCAGACTGTCCTTTTATGGGGAGAATCCACTGATAGAGATCATCTCCAAGATGATGACAGAGGTCCAGGAGTTTATAATGCGGCAAAGAAGGCCACAAACACCGGAAAGAAGCCCAGCAGTGTCTATGGTGCAAGAGGGTAAGCCGAAAATCCCATACCAAGCGTTTAAAATGTATGTAGAAGCAGAGGAAGATATAGACAACTTCCTACAAGATTTTGACAGACTGTGCACGGTACATAAAAAAATATGGAAGACTGTGTCCCCATTCTAGCAGGACGGTTAACAGGCAGCACAAGCTTGTGGGTGTTAAGCCAGCTGTGCGACCCCTAGGAGGAAACAGTTTTCCCACTGGCACAAACGCACCACTGAGACAACTACCCCCACCAGCTCCCACAGCTACTCAACCAAGGTTCCGCCATCCCTCCACTGTGCAATGCCACCAGTGCCAGAGGTGGGGACACTACAAGCGGGACTGCCCACAGCTTCGAGACCGATCCACCTGGATCCGACCAGGTCCACCCCCACCACCGAGAGCAGCAGCACACCACTACCAGGACGAGACACCCGCCGCCTATGGCTCTGCAGTTCCCGTCACTACCATAGAACAGTGGGAAGTACTACATGAAGCCAACCCGCTACAAGCAAATGCTGATAATCGTCAACATCACAGGCAAACAGTCTACCTGGAGGGAAAAGCTGTGCAGGGACTCCGAGATTCAGGGGCCACCATAACCCTGGTCCAAAGCCACTTGGTCTCTGACAAAGCCAAAACCAGCAGGACTGTAGCCGTCATGGTTGCCGGGGGAGCCGTATACCAGCTGAATACTGCACGAGTTCATTTGCATTGGGGAGTGGGTCGGGAAATGTGGAAGTGGGGTTGATGCCACAATTACCCAAAGAGGTGGTACTAGGAAACGATCTGGGAAAGCTCACTTCTGCTTTTGAACCCCAAACCGCAACCACTGAAGAAGCGCATCCAGTGGTCACCAGGCAACAGGCCCGCACCCAGGACTACAACACACTACCGGAGGTTCAGGTAAGAGAGCCTTCCCCTTCCCTAGACTGTGTCCCTTGGGCCCCTCCTAACAAATTTGCGGCAGAGGTGATTACTGACCCTACCCTACAGGTATATAGAGACAAAGTGACCAACCTGGGGCGGAGGGGGAAAGATTTGTATGGGATAGGCAGTTGTTATACAGAGATTCAGACAAGCAGGTAGCTGGGTCCTACCCGATTGTTCCACAGAGGTACCGAGCCGAATTGCTCCAGATAGCTCACGATATTCCGCTATCCGGGCATTTGGGGGTCAGTCGTACCCGATACCGACTGACCCAGAGTTTCTTTGGGCCAGGAATTAGCACAGGAAGTCCGTAAATATTGCAGCACCTGCGATACATGCCAGAGGGTAGGGAAGAGGGGGGACCGGCGGAAGGCAAAGTTGCATCCCCTACCTATAATTGATAAACCGTTTTATAGACTAGCAGTAGATCTCATAGGTCCCCTTCGGAAACCTAGCCCTTCTGGCAAGAAATATATTTTAACAGAGGTGGCCCTGACAAATATCCATGCAGAAACCATGGCTGAGGCCCTGATGCAGATTTTCTCCCGGATGGGGTTACCCAGGGAGATCATCTCGGATCAGGGTACTCAGTTCACCGCAGAGGTCACTCAGCATCTCTGAAAATTCTGTGACGTTAAACCTATAATCAGTGCCCCCTACCCCTACGTAGCTTCCAGGTTGGGCAGAAAGTTTTCATTTTAAAACCTGTCTGCCATGATAAGCTTCAGGCCGCCTGGCAAGACCCTTATAAAGTGGTGGAACAGAGATGTGACACCACTTATATAATTGAACCCTGCGCCGGGACTGGAGGGCGACGCATGCTCCATGTGAACATGATGAAGCCCTATCATGAACGCTCAGAAGAGGTGACCGCTATTTATGCACCCAACTGGAGACCGGCTGAGCCCGCAGGAACGTACCGAGGTACAACAGCTGTTAAGAGAGAAGCAAGATACCTTCTCTAATGTGCCTGGATACACTCTTCTAGCCACTGACCGGGTAGAAACCCCAGGACAACTTCCCATGCGCCAGAGCCCGTAACGCAGACTTGGAAAAATGATCCGTGAGCATCCCAGACATCCCCAAGCCGATCCGTGCTGGATCAGACTGTGTATGCCGGCTTGTGGGCAAGGGGGAGCAGTGTAGCGGATGGCATTGGGCTGTCCTCAGAATTATGTATATACGTATGTTTTCGGTTTAATTTTGCCATGTGTATGTCAAGTGTATGCAGCATTCGGTTAATTGTTCGGTAAAATCACTCTAGTTATTATGCGAGTGAAACTACCGAATAATCAGACCACCCCAGGAATAAGTGTGCCTCCAATTAGCATTCGCAACAATGTTGTAAAAGGGTAACTGGCAATTCGTGCAGTGTGTACTTTGTCCTCTGGGTGGCCGCCATTCTGGAGACGAACACGTGGCGGCGGCCATCTTAAACTCCCGAACAGCTGTGTTTTGCCGTCGAGTGTCTGGAACCCAAATCGGACACTAGGTTAGGCAAACACCGCTGAGACTTCCACACTCCCGCCAATTTGTGTAAAAACTACCGAACGGCCCCCCGTTCGGTAGAAAGAACCCCACGAACAAGGGGATTTACCCGAATCCTCCCTAGTTCTCATAACCCAAGACATTCGTGTGTTTCATTCCCTTTTCTGTGACCGACCGCAGGGCCAAAATGTATGGGACCCTTTTCGGCTGTTAACTCCAGCGCGGTCGGTCTTTTTAGTACCTCCAGGGTGGTTTTTGGATATGTGTCTCACCCAGATCGGGGCTACCAGGGGATGTAATATTTAAAGGGGTACCCCTATGTTTAGGGCTACATCCAGAAAACAAGGGGAACTGTATGGGAGAAAGCATTAAAAGAAGGTTGTGTGATTAAAAGTTCAGTTCTGCTCCTGATGCTGTGTGTCGTCCAGTCATTGGGATTGATGTTGGGATATTATTGGACTGTCTTGCCTGCTGGAATTATTGCCTTATGGATTTTTAATACTTGTTCCTCAGCCTCACTGGGATCTTGAGGGGAGATAACCCGTGGAATATCAGCTCTCCGCTACATACCGTTCATGTCAAATGTCATGTCGCCATGTCGCCAAATCCTGCTGCTTCCATCTCAAAAACATTGCGCGCATCCAACCCTATTTAACGCCTGATACGGGAAAGGTGCGTGTCCATGCTGTGTCCTCTCCTGCCTTGAGTACTGTAATCCGCTTCTCAGTGGTCTTATGTGCTCCCAACTTGCCCCGTTACAGTCCATAATGAATTCGGCTGTGATGCTCATCTTCCTGTCCGCCCACACCTCCCCCCTTTGTTAGTCCCAAGATTGGCTTCCCATAAGATATAGGTGTGTCAGACTGCCTGGCACCCCGACTGGGTACCTCTGCCAATCGCGCATCCTATAAGCACCATACCACACAATAAACTATAAGCACCACACCAGACACCATAACCACTGTAGCCCCCCTTAGCCTTAGAATTTTTTCTTCCTTAGAATCATTAAAGGTAGGGCATCCTCTCCTCTTTCTTGTCACTCTCCCCTTAGGACCTTAATTTGGTTCGCTATTATTCTTTTATCCTAGCAACCTACTTTTCTACCTTACCCTTACCCTTTGTGTCACTATACCCCACTCCCTCAAGCATGTAAACTCACTGAGCAGGCCCTCAATCCCTCTGTTACTGTCACTATACCCCACTCTCTCTAACATGTAAACTCACTGAGCAGGCCCTCAATCCCTCTGTTACTGTGTCACTATACCCCACTCCCTCTAACATGTAAACTCACTGAGCAGGGCCCTCAATCCCTCTGTTACTGTGTCACTATACCCCACTCCCTCTAACATGTAAACTCATTGAGCAGGCCCTCAATCCCTCTGTTACTGTGTCACTATACCCCACTCCCTCTAACATGTAAACTCACTGAGCAGGCCCTCAATCCCTCTGTTACTGTGTCACTATACCCCCACTCCCTCTAACATGTAAACTCACTGAGCAGGCCCTCAATCCCTCTGTTACTGTGTCACTATACCTCACTCCCTCTAACATGTAACCTCACTGAGCAGGGCCCTCAATCCCTCTGTTACTGTGTCACTATACCCCACTCCCTCTAGCATGTAAACTCACTGAGCAAGGCCTTCAATCCCTCTGTTACTGTGTCGCTATACCCCACTCCCTCTAACATGTAAACTCACTGAGCAGGGCCCTCAATCCCTCTGTTACTGTGTCACTATACCCCAGTCCCTCTAACATGTAAGCTCACTGAGCAGGCCCTCAATCCCTCTGTTACTGTGTCACTATACCCCACTCCCTCTAACATGTAAACTCACTGAGCAGGGACCTCAATCCCTCTGTTACTGTCACTATACCCCACTCCCTGTAACATGTAAACTCACTGAGCAGGGGCCTCAATCCCTCTGTTACTGTGTCCCTATACCCCACTCCCTCTAACATGTAAACTCACTGAGCAGGCCCTCAATCCCTCTGTTACTGTGTCACTATACCCACTCCCTCTAACATGTAAACTCACTGAGCAGGGCCCTCAATCCCTCTGTTACTGTGTCACTATACCCCACTCCCTCTAACATGTAAACTCACTGACAGGGCCCTCAATCCCTCTGTTACTGTGTCCACTTTCATGCCCCACTCTCTCCCTAACATGTAAACTCACTGAGCAGGCCCCTCAATCCCCTCTGGTACTGTGTCACTGTACCCCCACTCCCTCCCTAACATGTCCCAGCCTCACTGAGCAGGGCCCTCAATCCCTCTGTTACTGTGTCACTATACCCCACTCCCTCTAACATGTAAGCTCACTGAGCAGGGCCCACAATCCCTCTGTTACTGTGTCACTATACCCCACTCCCTCTAACATGTAAACTCACTAAGCAGGGCCCTCAATCCCTCTGTTACTGTGTCACTATACCCCACTCCCTCTATCATGTAAACTCACTGAGCAGGCCCTCAATCCCTCTGTTAATGTGTCACTATACCCCACTCCCTCTAGCATGTAAACTCACTGAGCAGGGCACTCAATCCCTCTGTTACTGTGTCACTGTACCCCCCCCTCCCTCAGCAGCCTTGAAGCTCACTGGCGGGCCCTCAACCCCTCTGTTGCTGTCACTGCCACCCCTCCCTCTGGCATGTAGGCTCACACTGAGCGGGCCCTCCGTCCCTCTGTTACTGTGTCACTATACCCCACTCCCTCTAACATGTAAACTCACTGAGCAGGGCCCTCAATCCCTCTGTTACTGTGTCACTATACCCCACTCCCTCTAACATGTAAACTCACTGGGCAGGGCCGTCAATCCCTCTGTTACTGTGTCACTATACCCCACTCCCTCTAACATGTAAACTCACTGGGCAGGCCCTCAATCCCTCTGTTACTGTGTCACTATACCCCACTCCCTCTAACATGTAAACTCACTGAGCAGGGCCCTCAATCCCTCTGTTACTGTGTCACTGCTGCTGCCCACTCCCTCCCAACATTAGCAAACTCACTGGGGCGGGAGCCTCAGTCCCTTTGTTACTGTGTCCTGCACTTCACTACCCCCACTCCCTCTAACATGTAAGCTCACTTCCAGGCAGGCCCTCAATCCACTGTTGCACGTGATACTGCCCCTCCCTCCCTGTATGTAACTCACTGAGGCAGGGCACTCAATCCCTGTTGCCTGTGTCACTATACCCCACTCCCACCAACATGTAAACTCACTGAGCAGGGCCCTCAATCCCTCTGTTACTGTGTCACTATACCCCACTCCCTCTAACATGTAAACTCACTGAGCAGGCCCTCAATCCCTCTATTACTGTCACTATACCCCACTCCCGCTAACATGTAAACTCACTGAGCAGGCCTTCAATCCCTCTGTTACTGTGTCACTATACCCCACTCCCTCTAACATGTAAACTCACTGAGCAGGCCCTCAATCACTCTGTTACTCTGTCACTATACCCCACTCCCTCTAACATGTAAACTCATTGAGCAGGCCTCAATCCCTCTGTTACTGTCACTATACCCCACTCCCTCTAACATGTAAACTCACTGAGCAGGCCCTCAATCCCTCTGTTACTGTGTCACTATACCCCACTCCCTCTAACATGTAAACTCACTGAGCAGGCCCTCAATCCCTCTGCTACTGTCACTATACCCCACTCCCTCTAACATGTAAACTCACTGAGCAGGGCCCTCAATCCCTCTGTTACTGTGTCACTATACCCCACTCCCTCTAACATGTAAACTCACTGAGCAGGCCCCTCAATCCCTCTGTTACTGTGTCACTATACCCCACTCCCTCTAACATGTAAACTCACTGAGCAGGCCCTCAATCCCTCTGTTACTGTGTCACTATACCCCACTCCCTCTAACATGTAAACTCACTGAGCAGGGCCCCCAATCCCTCTGTTACTGTGTCACTATACCCCACTCCCTCTAACATGCAAACTCACTGAGCAGGGCCCTCAATCCCTCTGTTACTGTGTCACTATACGCCACTCCCTCTAACATGTAAGCTCACTGAGCAAGGCCTCAATCCCTCTGTTACTGTGTCACTATACCCCACTCCCTCTAACATGTAAACTCACTGAGTAGTCCCTCAATCCCTCTGTTACTGTGTCACTATACCCCACTCCCTCTAACATGTAAACTCACTGAGCAGGACCCTCAATCCCTCTGTTGCTGTGCGCCCACTTGCCTGGCTACAAATACGTGTCTGTTAGTCCACTCATTGTACAGCGCTGCGGAACTTTATTTTCCCGTTGCTGGTTTAATGATTAACGCTCCCCAAGTTTATTCCCCAAATATTATCACATGCAAGGCACGGGCAGTTATGCTAGGCTCTGCTAGTTAATGTATAAGTAATGGTGTGCAATATTACTGTTCATGTCATGATATGTTATTTTGTATTTTATTTATCTACCCATCCTTCGTGATAATCTTTCTCTGCATGTTATCGAGTGGCACTCATCTCCTACTTACTATACTGTGTGAAATATTATATGTCTCTGTATGAGGCGACGTCTATACATATCAATAAATTGCGCAGTGTATACAGATCACCTTGACTAACTTATCCACCATTTTCCTCTTCATTCAGCAGATAATTCCTCCTCTATTGCGTCCTGTGATTAACGAACCAGCCTTGCATTCCAGAAATAATTATTAAATAAGCTAGACGACTGGGTCACAATGAGAAAATAAATCAATATTCATTCACGATTTTCATCTCAGCATCTTCCCTCTGTATAAAGGGGTATGAAAGTGGATGGGGCTCATCTACAGTAATCTGTCTGTGATAATTCTATTACATTCGGAATGACACTAATTTCCCTTTGAAGCCTCTTAGCTGTACGCCGCATTAAATGGATTACTGGTCTTTGAAAAGAAAGTGCATGAGTTTATGTCCAGGAAGTGAATGTATCATTTTTACTTTGACGTTTGTATGAAAGGGCTATTATGTTCCAAAAAATGAAAGTAAAAATTGCTCAACACGTATCCTGATACAATGAGCACATTTAAGTATATATGTTTCCCAAAATGTCCGAGTTACTATAATATTTAGTACTTCGAATGGAGAAAACATTACATGCAGGTACAATTACTACACAGCAGCATTAGAATATTCCCTATAATTAATTAGTATAACTCATTTTAACTCCTCCTATTACTCAATATAACCCTCCCTATAACCCCTCCTATTACTCCATATAACCCTCCCTATAACTCCTCCTATTACTCCATATAACCCTCCCTCTCAAACCCCTCCTATTACTCCATATTACCCTCCCTATAGCTCTTCCTA